CTTCATTGACCCATTCACCGCCCATGTCCCCGTGAGATATAGCACCATTACTTAGAGGCCAGTTGGAATTCCCATGCAATACAAAAGACGAGTCCTCGTGATATCTGTGTAGATTATCACCTTCACTATCTTCCTCTTCCTCATCTTCATCCAGCGTTCTGTTTGGTAGGAATGAGTTGTGTGAGCGTAGGGTGTCTCTAGCTCCAGAGTTTTCCTTCTTCAGGTGGGAACTGCCCTCCTCCGGTGACGAGTTGGAGTCGTCCCTCCCACTGCTGTCGCTGCCCCCCTCCTCCTCCGCTCGGTCCTCGATGAAACTGCCATGGCTGCTGGAGAAAGGTCTTCGGCCCCCGGCGAACGCATGTTCTCGGTTCAGAGAGTCTCGCTCTGGGAGGGACACTGCTCGGGTCAGACCCACTGGGCACAGCCGGCCGGACCTCTTGGCCGAGCTGCACAGGGCCTGGACAGGAAGCTGCCAGGTGGGGAGCTGGACCACAGGGAAGTGGCACGCTATCAGGGTGTCACCTGAGTGACTGGATGCTCCAATCATATTGCTGGATCAGGCTGGATCATGGAAATGGTCTCCATCTTCCAAAATTGGAATCCTTAAAGTAAAAAATGGAATAAAATCAGTTATTAATACAATACTGATTTAAATGTTTTATCGGAAATGAACAGCATATTTTCAGCTTTGGAGGGAGATGCATACGGTAAAAGACTATGTGTGGATATACAAAATACATATAGATAATTACTATCACTGCTACTGCATAAAAATTGGGCTCTTTATGTGATAATACAGGCAAAATTCTTAGCAGTTAGACTCAAGTTTAGACCTAAACTCTGTCCAAGATCCAAGATCAGAGGTACCTTTATAAAGCATTTATATTTAAAAGAAAATGTTTGTTTTTACACAGTTGGAACATTGCTACATGTTTAATTTTGCATGCAACTATAATCAGGATACATTAAGTCTAGTTTGTTGTTGGTATATGCATATGAATTGTTTATGTTGATCTCCCTCAGGATCTGCTTCTTGGTGTTTGAACTCAATGGCCCTCCTAGCTGTAATGCTTTGTCAGGCTTAAATCTTCGGGGACACAAGTTAAGTGCATCTTTAAATTTAGGGTAAAACATCCCAACAGAGTAGAAAAAAGATGAAACCATAAAGCACAACTACAGGCTGCTGGTGTCTGAGTCTCCCTCACTTCACATCACTGGTCCTGCAGCCAGAGTCCTACTGTGTTGTCTGCTTCTGGCCCTCAGCACAGCCTCCCCTCCATAATTCAGTCAACCATTAACAGACCCCTCCTCTCGCTGCCTGGGCCAACCACAGTCCCTCTCAGTTACTCAGCTGCTCTGTAACTAGGGCATCTGCACTGCAGTGATGCTCCGCTGGCCCTGCTAACAGTAAATACATTTTGACATCAGTGTAGTTAATTTAACATGTTTTATACACATTTGAGCTGACCTCAAAACACAGGCAGAAAAAGAATGATTACCATCCCTTCATTAAACAGCTATGAGGACCGCTAAAAAAAAATAATGTAAAAGCACATCAAATATTTAAACACTGGGGATTGTCAAAAAAGTGATAATGAATGTTGCTAGGATACACCATTTACTGCGTTTTTGCCCTCTGTAATGTTATATGTTGAAGATTTTAACAAGACTTGTGTTAAGAAATTCATTATTTTAGATTTTGTTTTGGGCTTCATGTCTCACATCACAAGGCATCGGTTCATAGACGTCACGTTGTTGTGCTACAGGGGGGTCACAACATGGGTAAACAAACAACATCTGTTACAGATTACCATGAAGAGGTAATCCTCTTTAACATCACATGGCAACAATAAACAACAGCCTTACCATGGCAACAGAAATAAATCACATTGAAATCTGCTCAGAGGCAAATAACAATCTCAACATTAACAATATAAAAAGTTGCTTATGGACTTGGTGAACCTTTCTATAAAGCCCTAATATAAACAACACAAATACATAAAATATATGTAAAAGAAATCAAATGAAATAATATTAATGTAAATGTAAATGTGTCTAGAAAGCTATTAAATAACAACAGCAGACTAATGTTTGCCTTTGGTTGTGTAACTTCACAAAGCTCAGGAGGAAGTGCAGGTAGGAGCAAGACACTAAATCCCCAAATACTCTCAGTATAGTTGTTTGGACAAAACTGTCTTATTTTATTAACTAATCCAGAAATACAATATACACACATTTCTGTGGAGCAAGTCCTGCTGCTCTCTTTTTGATATAATCATTTTAAATACTTAATGCTATCTCAGAAATAAGATTAGTGTCTCCGCTGATGCAATATGTGGGAATATATTGTTTTTAAAGGACTTTTTTGCATTGAATCTGTATTGTTCCTGTCCTTGCTGATTTTCAACTGTCCAGTAGCGCGATACCACATGAAAGTAGGCCAGTGTGACCGCCTAGTTGTCAGCAGAGGACTAATATTATCACCTCAAAGCGGATGTGACTCTTGCCTATTATTATCACGGCTGGAGGTCCCCCCGCTTGCAGCTCTTCCCCCTGGGCACTGGAGCAAGCTGAGATGGTTGTGATTAACTGAGCTGGATCATGGGAAACGTCTGTCAGGTCAGGTCAGGTCCACTGTGGTTGTTTCTGTGCTTGAAGAAATAATACGATTTTGCTGCTGCTCTCTTATAATAAGACATCATTACGTTTATTCATGTAGTATCAAGTAGTATTCATGATAGGAAAAGCTCAGTAAGAACTCAACATAACATGATCATATTTGATGTTTAAACCTGCATCTAGAGTAATAATGACACACAGACCCATTGAAGAGGAAGGTCATAGGTGGACTATAAGTGTGTGTGTGTGTGTGTGGTGTGTGTGTGTGTGTGTGTGTGTGTGTGTGTGTGTGTGTGTGTGTGTGTGTGTGTATGTGTGTATGTGTGTGTGTGTGTGTGTGTGTGTGTGTGTGTGTGTGTGTGTGTGTGTGTGTGTGTGTGTGTGTGTGTGTGTGTAGTTAAAATGAAATATTCAAAGTGGCTGAAGTAGGACAACATGTCAGACACAAGAAGAGATGCACACATAATAAAATAACCACCCATAACAGAAGTAGCATATATTTCTCTCTTCCACAAACACTATCAAATATACAGACTTTACCACAAATTAAGTAAAACAATAGAGCAGAATCAGTTGGATAATTGACATCAAGGAAAAGTAAATAAAGCTAAAAAAAAACATTAGCACTTGTGCATTTGGGCCATTTCCAACTTGTATCCTGAAATGCTTGAATATGATCACTTACTTGATAACAGTCGTCAGTCAAAGGCGATGTCTTCCATCTCCTTCCAGGTGAAATAAATACGGGGTTTGATCAGGGTTTGATGCAAAAACATGCAACCAAACAAGTCTTTAAATAAAAAAACACGCTAGTAGCCTACTCGACGCAGTTCTCCCATCAAAGATGCATTGGAAATCTCATACTCTCATCTATATTAACTGATAACCGCCATTTAAATCTTTAGGTTGGTTACAGAGAATAAATAAGTGTATAATAGAGTAATTTAAACCCGGTTCGACACCGGGGTCCGTACAGATAGAGCGGACCCCACGCGCTGCTCCAGACACAGCTCAGCATACCGGGGGTATTACGTCACGCAGGCTTCAACCAATGAGGAGGGAGAAGTGCCTGCCAATCAAGGTATCAAAACATCTGGCAGGCAGAGTTCAGTTAAATAATATTAAAAATAGACATCATTATGAGTTTCAAATTGCACATTTCCCTAATGATGTGATTTCGTATATTATAATGATTGAGAACAGAAACACACATAATTCATTACACCAAAATATCATTATGGCCATGTTATCAATTATAAGAGACCTCATTCCCAACTGTTCATCCTTTTATTATCTTAAGAGCATAAGTGGTCACCAACATCTATATATATATATATATATATATCACAAGATAAGAATAAGATTAGGGTTGCAATAATAATTTTCAATAGTGAATAATCTTTAGATTACTAATGGTTTCACAGTTTAGTGAAAGGTCAGACATATGTCAATTTCAAATCCTCTTTTTTAGAAAGACTGAAATCAGAGTCTATTGGCCATTTTTCACATTTTTTGCTTGAAAAAGACAGTATAAGTCGCCTGCTGGAAAAATTGAACCCCCACCTCAGAACCAAATCATTGTATAATGCATTAATAACTATCCAGTGAGGCCTTTTATAAGTAACTCTTTACTGAGTTAAACATTGTATCAGTATAATCAGTTTACCACAGATATAGGTAAAATCACAAATGAGCTGGTGGCACAGTCATCTCCCTAAACCTGGTTCAGATCGCCCTCCAGTGGTGAAAAAGAACAGACTTCAGCTTTTGATGCATCCATTTTCTAGGAAGGTTGTAAGATGTATGACACGTAAATACCTCGATTAAAGGTAAAACATCGAAGCATAAAACAGTGCATGTGTGCATTCATTCCAGCTTGATAAGAAGGAGGCAGCCTCACTAAGTTAACCATGTTACCTGTTTCAGTGCTGGAATGAGTCTAAAACATTCATTCATGCAGAGCAAACATATTTTTAAATAATCAGATCAGCTCTGCTCATAAACAAGAGCAGGTTTAACACATGTTTCCTCTGACCCATTCATGTCATGTTTCACACAGATGGGCCATTTCTTTTTTTTCACCAACCAACATAAACGTTTTAATCTTCTTCCATTGCATTAAAAGAGTAGAATGAATTGTGAGGAACATTTTTAATTTGTTCTGAACTTGGTAAAAAAAAAGAATGTGGACATACAACCTCTTGTAAAAAAAACATTTAAGTGTCTACATTGTTCACACTATTTACAAATACAAATATAATAATAACAAGAACAGATAAACTCACAAAAATGTGCAAGTATATTTATATGTTCTTATTTAAACATTTCAGCATGTCTGATAATGTACTGCAATTGTTATAATGCAATTGTAAGAAACGATATTGCTCTAGATGGAGCCATTTTTATTTGTTTGTGTGAATTCTGCATTTACAGCTTTGTTTTTCTGCAGTGCCAGATCAGAGAACTTTAACTGAATGCACAGTCAGGAGAAGCATCAGCAGGTCTTCAGTTCAAACCAGATTATTACAACATTAAGGTGATTTATGATTCATCTTGAGACTGGTCACTTGGGTCCATTAGGCAGATGTTTGTTTTGTCACATTGAAGGTGTTTTATCCTCTTCAGAAGGAACATATATGTTTCCTGTAAAGATAAGGAGCAACTTTATTGCAGGGTCATAACTGTCTGACTTTGTCCAAGCCATGCAAAACAGATGTGGACAAAACTTCACACGCTGCACAAATACAGCACAGAGAAACGATTGCATGTTAAGTCTTTGAAAACTCCAACCATGGTCACATGTCTGTTAAATATCATTGAATGTTATATCTTATTTCACATTAGCGACAAAACAATTAAGAAATACAGACCCTAAAATTGTTAATGAGCAACACATCTTCGTAATGTGAAAGTAAGTTCCAAAATGGGTCAAATGTCTGATTATGTGTGCAATTTCAGAGGAGTGTTGCCGTACCTGCAGTAGTTTGTGCCACACTCTAAGTGGTCCCTGCAGCTGGCCCCCACAGGCTTCATGCTGTTCCAGCGCCACAGGAGCGACCGCTTGGTCCGCTGTATCAAACCATTCCAGTCTTTAGGCACAGGCGCTGAATCCACCTGCAATAACATAATACGATTGTTAATAGCTATGATCAGGGTCGGCTCTAGAACAAATCGAATGGGGGGGCAATTATTTACCAAGGGGGGGCACACACTGCCGTCAACAACCAACACACAAACACCAACGCAACTTCAGCTGTAAAGTCTATTGTTTTTCACACGCATTGCAGGGTGTTGCGCTATTTTATAGCGCACCTATGACTTGTGCATACATGCACGGTTGTGGCACGACCACCAAAACAGAAACATATGGACATAGGCCACCATATAAAAGTGTGCAAATGTATTTAGTATCCTATTCATGTGAACATGTTTTAGGTGGGGGTGGACCTAACCTCCTCTAGGAGGGTCTATTGAAGTTAAATGCATCAATCTGGTGCACTTTGAGAGCAAAATGAAGAGATCTATGGATAGCCTATCTCTCAGCATCCATATGACAGAACTGTACACAGATTTACTTTTTCTTTATGGATATTTTACTAATCACTCCCCTTTTAAACTGTATTCTTGTGTTACTGTCCTATAGTATTTCATACCCGTTTTTCATTTATTCTCTTATTTTTTAATAACTATAATGATCATATAAAGGTGTTCCTCGCAAATACTTGTTTACATAAATGGTGACCAAACCGTTTGAGACCCACTGAGATAACTTACACTAAAGTTAACTATCTAAACACTGAGAGAGTCCTTACCTCACTAAGCTGACGTTATAAGATCCTCTCAGTCTGACAGGAGAGGACTCTCCTCCACCTTGGTGTAGAAACAGCTCTTTATATCCGTTAGCACAGCCAGCTAACCAGATGCTAGTTACAACATTCCACGTTACCGCTCGCGCACTCACAAAATGCGCTCGAGCCATAGACACACACAGAGCCGAGCTTGAATGAAACACAGAGACCCAGAAGTAGGCTACTTGTACTGTACTGTATATCATATTATTTTCGATGGCTTTACTGTATAATCAGTTTAACAGATCGCCACTGGGCTTTCATCTAAACACACAGCCACGTAATGATAACAAAACAAAGGTCGAGGGTCATTGGTCAAGCAACACACCAATCAGAGAGCAGCAGTGAGCACACCTCAGGCTGTGTTTATATTTGTATTCTTTATTTCTGATGTATTTCACACAAAAAACCTTTACGGGCCGTCCACACTACAGCTTCGACAGCTTCAAAAACGGTTTCCAACGCGTCTGCCCATTCACTTTGAATGGGGTAACGTCACGTTGCCTCGCTTTTCACCGAACTAAATTGTGAGTAGCATAGCGGTCCGTCTCCGGCGTCAGAAGTTGAACAAATGTTCAACTTCTGACGCCGGAGTAGCCAGCGCCAGCCAATCAAATCCCGTTTCTGAAAATCTGACAGCTCAAGCCCTAGCCAATCAAACCGCGTCTAAGCTGGGAGAGATATCCCGACGTTCATTTCTATATTTAAAAAAAAGATGGAGGAGAAACTAATTATCGCGGTAGCAAATCACCCGGTTTTGTATGACCAGACCCTCTTCACCTACCGGGATACAAACCGGAAGAACCAGTCATGGAGGGAGGTGGCAGAGACAGTGGGTGAAACTGGTTTAAAACTGAGTTTATATATATATATATTGCTCGCATACATTTTTTTTGCTTTGTATGTCGGGGGCGGGAGATTCATGTGATTGGTTGTTGGTCGCGTTGCTCGAATAAAATCCCCAAGCTTCAGACACGCCCAGCTCCAAGCTTTTTTTGAAGCTGTAGTGTGGACAACGTTAGTGGAAACATTTTCACTTATATGATTAAAAAAAAAAAACGGCAAAGTGGCAAGGCTTGCCCACGTGTTGGGGGGGCACAGTGACTCATTTGGGGGGGCATGGCCCGCGAATGACCCCCCATGACGCCGACCCTGGCTGTGATGACACGCATGATTGATGGTAATCGAATCAGAAGACATTATGTTCTTTATTAGCAGAAAATAGATCAAATAAACAGTAACAGAAGGATATTAATCCATACACATACCTGGATGGCACATATCAGAGACAGGAACATTGAAAGAACGACGATCTTTTCTTGAACAGTCCTCATGCCGTTCGCAGATCAGGTTCAAGAGAGTAGAAGTTCTGCGGCGGGGCTGGTGTGTTGTGTCATGCAACGTGTATTAAAGGCTTTGATTAGGGTTTGGGAGGAGTTAGCTGTTGACAGATATCAAAGATTAATACTCCAATTTAGCTACTTTAATGACTCAGGCTGAGGTTTAGAAGCTGATCTGAAGTCATTGCCAATGATGCAGACCTCGTTAAACAGTCGAACTTATCCGTTTTATAATGACAGACAGAGTCAAAGTTTATCTAGAGGGAGCCAAAGTACACTTTAACCCTGCAATTGAGGACAATTCCACGTCGGAGAGTTGTAATTGAAACCTCAACATGGGTCTCGGTTGTAGAAAATGTATCCATCCACCCATTTCACCCGTGGAGCTACATGATTTTGACTGTGGGAGGACGCTGAAGGAAATCCATGTGAACGACACAACAACTCTATAGTAGAGATTGCTAACTTTTAAGCCATTTTAGTGAGAGTTTCTGGCCAAAGTGGCATCTTTGTTGACCAGGCCAGTGACCTGCAGGAATCTGGCTTTCCCGACAACCTCACTGCACCCGGACAATAAATGGTTCCACTAGTGTCAAGTAGAAATAGTTCCACTATAGTATATCAAGTAAGAACATGGAGTGAACACAATATACATCAATTTATTTGTTAACAATTGAGGGTACATTTCAACCTCAAAATGTGTTCAAAGCAGCAATGGAAACGGGCTGAAATGCATAGTATAAAATAAAGTAGGTAATTTAGGATGTTGACCATCCTAAATGTAAGAAAAATGTATGGAGTAAAAAATATATAATGATGCATTATCATTATGTAAAGCTACATCTATGAAAACGAAAAATGTATTTAAAAAAATCAGAATATCAAATGCAACCATTATTTTACTCATTTAAAGCAGGTGTGATATGTCAGTTTTTCAAAATACTACGTGCACAACTATTAGTCATATTGGTTAATCTGTTGAAATCAAGAGAGGTGTGGTTGTAAATCTCCATGGATGTGTGTGTGTACTAAGGTCATGTGATAAGTACAGTTTCAAATCAGACAAATCCCTGAAGTTTGTCATTAAGAACATTCTTGCTTAACTGCAGGGTGACATTATACCAACTATTCACTTTATCAAATCATCTTGTCTAGGAGGAAACACAAGGAGAGGGTTTGAAGCACAGCAGGTTTATTAAAGGTTGCAGCAAATGTTAAGACAATGTTCAGCTTGTTAGATATTTGACCTATTGACCTATTATGTAAACAGTGATTACATATTGATTGTTACTTTGTATGGGTAGTAGTGTAAACAATAATCTGTAACATGTGAAACGAAGACCACAACAACATTAAAACAAGTCAGCCTGTCAGTTATGTGTGTGAAATAGTGGTTATTCAAATAGCAAATTACACATTGTAATGACATTCTACAGTACTTAGTTCTGGACACAAAATCTATTTCATTTAAATCCAATAGGCTGTTGCCAAAGAAAATAAAGAAAAACATGTATTTTTTTACCCAGATCCTAAATAAAGTAACAATAATCAGATACAATAATGTTATTTAGAAGTGCAGAATTGAACCATATTATTTATGGACAATTCGTGGTGGTTAAAAAGAAATACATAACTTTCTCTTTTGCAGTGTCAGTAGCATCAAGCTGATCTTGCACTGTTTTAAGGATATCAGTAGGATAACTCATGGAGACATCAAATCTAACATGGTGCTTTACACCATCATGGGACAAGACATTGTACCTTGCACAAGACAAACAAGTTCCCTTTACACTGCTTTTGTTGAAGTAATACACATTACGATATTTGCATATATTGGGATTAAGTGGATTTCCATTTAAGGTTACAACAGACTAAGAGTACATGGTATTAAAAGGAAGCCGAGATGACTATATTCATGACATCAAGAATACATATGCCAGCAGTCGTTTTGCACAGCTTGACCTTGTCATTCACTTAGAGACAATACGGAAAAGTGAAATGTTGGTGTTAAAAAAAAGAAGGATATGTGTCTCTTGCATTAAAACAGTGTTGCTAACTTTCTTCCTATACTGATGCTTCAACAATCTCACTAGAGCAGGCTGAAAACAGGCCTATTTTACAAACACACGCCGACAGTATTCCCTTATCACTATTTCAGTTCTGCAGGCATTCATATCATTCATGCACACACACACACACACACACACACACACACACACACACACACACACACACACACACACACACACACACACACACACACACACACACCACACACACACACACACACACACACACACACACACACACACACACACACACACACACACACACACACACACACACACACACACACACACACACACACACAATAATCAATCAGTGACAGTATATTTTCACATCAATTCCTGGGGGTTTGATCATTTCAGAGCCCATAATTAAAAAGGTATAAAAGACAATCTTTAAGATAAAAAAAAAAAAAAAAAGGATTTCATCATCAATACAACTTACTTGTAAGGGAGACATTAACCTCATCCCTGTAACAAACCTCTTCACTTTGTTTTCCTAAAAACATTGGATAAGCTGGATAAAAAGATGTAATTTTGGTAATTAATTGAGCTATTACTCGGGGGATACTGGTAGGAATTGCAGCTCCATTTAACACGTGAATTATTATGCAAATATGGCAGTCCTCCTTCTTTAAACGTACAGTTTGGTGCTATGACGAGAGCAGGGGCTGCCGTTCAGCTGTGGTGCTCTGAAAGAGAAAACACACACAAAAGAGTTAACTTAAGACATTAATGAAAACCATGTCCATTTATTTACATTTGCACATAAATATCTAACATTTGTTATGTACAATAATACATATTCTATAGAAAAAAATATATAATGTATTTTTATTTTAAAGATGGGCAACGTTTATATTCTCACTCTTCTGTTTTATCTTCTATTTTGAGATGTTTATATTGTTTATTATTACTCTTTTTATTTTCTAATGATGTGCAATACTTTGTTTTACATGCTGCAACAACAACAACAATCCCAATTTGGGATCAATAAAGTTTATCTTATCTTATTCAACTTTGGCAATTGCCACTTCAAATAATATTAGAGTAAATGATTTATGCTTGTTTTCAACATAACCACTAGGTCTGAAATGATTATTCAATGAATCAATCATTGATCGCAAGAATATAAATAATTATTGCTAACAATTCTGTTAATTGTATTTTTTTTGTGTTTTTTTTAATAAATATCTTTGGATTTGGACATAATGATTTATTTTGACACTCCCTAGACCTCACTATGAATCTATAAAAGAAAAACATTACTAACTGATTTATTCTGAATGAAAATAATAGTTTTCTGCAGCTCTAACAACCACACAAACTCATGAATGTCCATCTGAAGCGCTCACCTCGGGGACGTTCTGCCGACACATCAGGAACATGAAGATTCCTCCCATAATGATGGCGAGGCCGATCAGCATGAAGGGGATGTTCTCCACCACTTGCTGCTCCACGATTATCTTCCTCAGCTTCGCGGCCGACGCGTCGTCAATGACAACGCTCTGTGTAGATGGTAGCAGAGAGAGATTCAGCACAACCAACAAGACGGTAGAAAAAGAAAAGCTAGGTTATCGATGTAAGTAAAAAGTATTTCTTATTCTGCCATTTAATGTGTGCAATTAAGGTCTCAATTATTCTGTGTTTGTGTACCTCATTGAGATAAACCACGGGAAGGATCACTGTCCTCACGTTTCCTGTTTGACTGAAAGAAAAAAAAGAAATTATTCAAATGTTTTGCATTTCGTTCCTATAAATTAAATGAATAAATGGCAAAAAGACATTCAGACAGCTGTTAATATTGCAATGGCTCTCCGTTTAAAGTAAGTATACATTTAGTTGTCTTACATATCATTTGACAACTTGTACATCTATTATTGACTAGTGCTGCTCAATGGTTCAATACATATTTTTAACAGAACACCAACATGTAGTTCAGTTTAATATCTCTCTATTTATTGCTGATTGATATTCAACAAAGTGATTGGATATTTTCCACATAATGTGCAGCCCTTGTTTAGACTCATATTACATCAAGATTGTTTTTTCGTCAAGTAGATCCACGAGCCACTAGCGTCCAAGAGTCCATTCATAGTGATGATGCTGGCATGATTGCTTTACTGTTATTTTAATGGCAACCCTTTCCTGGACCTAGGTAGTCATACATCTGTCACCGCTGCATTAAAGCCAACAAGGGGGTGCCGTGACGTGAGACTGATGAAGATGTGAGCTGATTACCTGAAGTAGGACATTTTCTCAACAAACACGTTGACCTGGAGCCGTTTGGCAGCTTGAATAATGATTCCAGTTAGCTGCAAAACAGAATGACATTTGTTAGGAATGTATGGTTAAAAGACACACCTGTCAATCCTGATGAATGAACATTTATGGCTCATTATAACATTTAGCAACACAACATATTTGCCAAGACACTGTGTTGTATAACAGCTAACACACCAACATACTGCACATACAACAGAGATGCATCTACAAGAGGCAAAGGTAAAATCACAGCCTGATGCTGGCAGGGGATGAGGGTTATTCTACCAGGGAAGTCGTACAGGGCATCCAGTATTTATGACAAAAGTCGCAGTACTTTGACCAATCCCAGTGATCTCATGCAGTCACACAATGGAGATGATCATATAACCAGGAGAAAACTAGACAAAACGGTAGCTTAACAGGGTTCAAAGACTGATTACAATAATAATGCCACCACAGTACATGTCTGAGTTAACTAAATATAAGTGAATTCAATTGAAACAAAAGTGTGATTCAGAAATGCACGCTGAGCAACGCAAATGGAATTAATATTCTTGTGCATGTTTTTTTCCTGAACTATTTTACTGTCTTTGATAGTAGTGCATCACAATGTATATTTACTTTTTTCTGAGACTAAACTTCAATTTACAAGATGACACATTCAAAGCTATGTCAAGGAAGACCTGTAAAAATCAGCATGAAGAAAAAAGTTAAATAAATACTTCATGCAAAGCAAACACTACATGGCTGCCGGAGAGAGCCATGAAGAAAGCCTACAACTGAACTTCATTAAGATGGTAGCATATATCTGCAGAAATTGAATTTCCGGGTTATACAAGGATGAACAATAGTGCATCAACACTTTGTGTTACTGGAGTGTTTTTCTCAGTCTGCTTCCTTTTATTATGGATTTATTACTGGCTCAACCACGTTATTACAGAATTACACATGATAAGAGCTGTTAGAGCTTATCTTTGGCGACAGCTCCGTTCCACGTACCAATGCTTTAATCTTTAACCAATTTTACTACTGCTTTGTGGGTATGGCAAGGGCTGGGCTGGCAGTCACAAAGCTGAGATACTTCGCCATCTAGTGGTAAACATTAATGATACTGTTTTTTTGTAATGTACGTTTTCATAGCAGCTTTGTACATTTGAACTATTTTTTACAACTTGAGTGTATAAAGTAAAGAAAGAGTTTAAACATTGAGTACACGGATAATTGTCACGGTCTGTCTGTTTTCCTGTTTTATTTTGAAAGGTGTTCTTGTGTCTGCTTCCTGTCTCTGTGTTTTCCCTCCTGTTTGATTACTGATTCTGTTCCCCTGGGGCCATTGTGTTTTTCCTGTCCTGCCAAGCTGTGTCTTGTCCTTTGATTATTTCTGCATGAATTTAAGTTCTGGTTTTTCAGCTGGTTTTCTTTGAGTTTAATAAGGAGAGAGTTCTGGTCTGTATGCTGTATATCCAGTCAACCTTGAATAAAGGTTATTTTATGTTTAAACCATTGTCCGTCTGCACTTTGGATGAACCTGCTCTGCTGACCGCTGACAACTACATTTCCAAAGTCCCCCTCTACTCAAAAATGTGTTTGCTACTTTACGGTAATGTTCATTCATAGTTAAGAATGATATACACATGAACGTATCAAATGGAAACTTGACACCTTCAGAGCACACTCACTGTTAATGGACTCAGTAAAGTCAGAGATATCTTTTGTCTTTTGAAATAAATCGTTTTTGTAAATTCTCGAAAAAATACCAGACACAAATTACAACTTCCATCCATCCATCTTCTCCCGCTTATCCGTGGTCGGGTCACGGGGGTAGCAGTTCCAGCAGAGAGCCCCAAACTTTCTTTTCCCTGGCGACATCAACCAGCTCTGACTGGGGGATCCCAAGGCACTCCCAGGCCAGCGAAGAGATATAATCCCTCCACCTGGTCCTAGGTCTACCCCTTGGTCTCAACTCGGCTCAACTCCGAGCGGCTCAACTCCGAGTCCCTCCCGGATGACTGAACTTCTCACCGTATCCCTAAGGGAGACACCAGCCACCCTGCGGAGAAAACCCATCTCGACCGCTTGTATCCGCGATCTCGTTCTTTCGGTCATGACCATAGGTGAGGGTAGGAACGAAAATGGCCCGGTAGACAGAGAGATTTGCCTTCTGGCTCAGCTCTCTTTTCTACTAATTACTACTTGAATATTTTAAATATCTTATAGCCTGTCTGGAGAGAATAATTAAAGTTGAGATAATTACCGGATTGATATCAATTGCAGTCTGGTGCTGCTCCTTCTTAGGCCTCATGCCGAACACATCCTGAACATATTTCTCATCGGCCTGGTAGAAGTGAGGTGTCGACATTACGATGGGAGCTCCTGAACACACAAAACATTCAGTTAGTAACATTATAGAAACCACTCAGCTGAGCAGGTTCTTTAGAAAGCTGTTTCGTCATGACGAACAGCTTTCTAAAGAACCTTTTCCCATGGTGAGACGATAAAGTGTTATTCTGGCTTTTCCTTAATGCACTTCCTACCTTGTTTACACAGGCTGACATTCAGAACGCCAGAGCCCAGGCAGTTTCCAGCGGGGACACAGAAGCCGGCGTTGGCAGGGTTCACGGTGTGATTGGCAAACACCTCGCTAGGGGGACTGAAGCGATACCCAGGGATCCCCTTCACCGTCACATCCTCCTCATACAGAGCGTACAGAGACCTTGGAAACAGATGCTGGTTAATCTATGCAGACACAAAGCAATTATGTGATGCTGGAAGTGAAACAAAGGGGGGTACACACATGTGGTACATTGGCGTGTGGTGGTATGTGATTTAGTGAAAACATGCACAGCACAAACAAGAACCAAAAGTGTTTAAAGGAACATGTGGATGCCTCACAGGCCTGCTGTCAGTTACTTGAGCCACTCTCACTTCTGATGTATGAAGAGCTGATTTAAATGTTTTAATCTTCACTAAATATGTAGTAAGCGTACAGTGACCTTATTTTTGGCCAACCATTCAACCAGTCAGGCTAAAGGAATAATCCTAATCCCACATCCAGACGCAAATAATGCAGAGGGAAAGGATTAGGAATGGATTTTTTTAGGAAGACTGAGGGGGAAGTGATTTCACTAACCAGCTAATGTCAAGCAGATAAGACCAGGAAATGTGACTCAGCAGTAGAGGAAACAGAAAACAATACCTAATTGAAAGCAGCATTATCTAAAGCTCTGCTTCTTCAGTCGTTTGCTTCCTACAAACCAATATTTATGTAATAATTTATATTTGTTACTTGTTTTTTTCATTATTTACAGATTATTATTTGTGCATGTGCTGTAAATATGTAAATCCTTAAAACAAACTAAATAATGCTTTTAAATGACTTAAGAGGAGTAAGCTAATAAAAAAAGAGAGAAAAAAACACTAAAATAAGACGTGGGCTCATGCGAAGGCTCATCTGACTGTATATAAGAACATCCTCTAGAATATTATCTAGGCATTGAAACATCAATTTATTATAATTCTACATGCCCAATACACACATAGACACATTTTAGCCTACTAGCAGCATGGTCTCTTTAGAAGTCAGTAAAACACTCTGCGGTCCACTCACCTGCACAGGTCAGAGGAGAACATGTAGAGCGTCTCATTCTTGGTGATGATGGGATGGAAAGATGCTCCATTGGTTCCATTGATCATATTGCACTCATCAGATGTCCACCAATCCAGTTTGCTGCACACACAGAAAAACACAAGTACAATAAGGTCATTAAAGTTTTCTTTATCAGTTTTTCATTTATGAATTTAAAATTCTGTAAGGTTTAAGGCAGGGGAGATTCCCAGTCGATTGCGAAATGTGTCTAAAAATAGAACAACAATATTCTGTTTTATCGTTAATGTCCTATAACATAATCTGCCTGTGCCAGAATAATGCACGTGAACGCATCAAAGCTTTGTGATTGGCCGGCGTGACCCCATGTGTCGGGGCGTGACTGGTGGGCAGTGCACTAATTCGCTAACGTTGTCCGTGTCATCAGGAGTGACAGTCCGCACACAAACAAGACCGCAATTATGGCAGAAGCAAAATATATATAATTTTAACTCAGAGTGGGAGGATGATTATTTTTGTATCTATTCCAATTCAAAGTCCATCTGTCTCATCTGCAATGCGAGCGTGGCTTTATCGAAGAAGGGTCATTTAGGAGCGGCATTTCAAAACAGTGCACAAACGCTACGAGACGGAATTCCCTAATTCTGCCCTACGCTCCCAAAAGGGGAGGGGCCTGAAAGGACGGCTAAATGCACAGCAGTCCATTTTCACCAGGCCCAACAACAAGAGCAAGGCTGCTACCAGAGCATCTTATCGTGTCAGTCACGTTCTTGAGAAACACATGAAGTCTTTCAAAGACGGCGAAGTTGTGAAAGAAGCATTCCTGGAGGCTGCCGATGAGCTTTTTGGGGACAGTAAAAAATAACAGTAGCATTTCAACAGGTTTTTGATATAATAAAAACTCAAGTTAGATACCGTTATTAATCAGCTGTAAGTTTTAGTTTGTTTGAACTTATTCATTATAATTATTGTACAAAATGGTATACGAATGCAAACTTAAATTGATTATAGTCTATTATCAATTCAGGTTAAGAAACTAGTGTTGCTTGCTTCCTATTTTAAAAGGCATTTCTTTTTATACTCTACTAAAATGCTACAAAAAAGGGTTTGATTCTATTCATTTTGTCTTTTTTATTGCACTTTGGCAGCAGATTCCTGCGTAGCTTCAGATCTGAGTTGTCTTATTAGTAAGCCTAATTTATACTTTTGTAGCAACACTATTTTTATATAATGGCAAAGAAAGGGTTCAGAGTCTTTTCTTTTTGTCCTGTGTCATATGTGGCAGCACTGTTCAATGTTTCTTAAACATTACCCACTGTAGTGTGACGTGTGAATAAACTCCAACTCTGTATCAACAACACTGTTGTGTAACTTCAGTTAAATACTTGTATGTGTGTTGATTAGAAAGAGGTAAGATAAAGGATCGATCTGCAGTATTTTATGAAGTATTCATCATACAAAGGTCAGTTTTATACAAGTAGAAGTGTGTATTTACCTGGTAGGAGGCTGTCAGTAATGGCTACGCCTCTATTTGGACTGGTAGATCTCGGCAGACTGGCAACTTTAAAAGTAGCTCTCAGTTAAAAAAAGGTTGGGCACCCCTGGTTTAAGGCATTTAGAATACCCAGCACCAACCCCTTTAATATCTGTTCCTTTGTCAGTTTGATTAAAGATGAACAAAGCAATTTGTTAGGCAAAATTATGTTAAATGCTGTCAATGGTGTGGGCTTGAAAATAATCAGGACAAAATATGTTGAAGGTCAGAAAAGATTGGGTAATGTTGCTGCTCCTTATTCGTCAACAGTAGTATTTAATGAGGTCAAGGAGGAGTATGACATTTTGGTGTTTATGCTAGGCTAGGCTAACAGTTTCCTGGCTGTAAGTTAGTATTACTATTTACAGTAACGGCCCGTCCACACTACAGCTTCAAAAAAAGCTTGGAGCTGGGCGTGTCTGAAGCTTGACCAACAACCAATCACATGAATCTCCCGCCCCTGACACACAAGCAGCGGTTTGATTGGCTAGAGCTTGTACTGGCATATGATTTGATTGGCTGACGCTTCCACCGAAAGCTTCAGAAGCTTCAAAAGTTGAACATTGCTCAACTTTTGCAGCCTGAAACGCCAGGAAAGCTCCGCTCTGCTTCCCACAATGCAGTTCGGCGAAAAGTGACGTCACCCCATTCAAAGTGAATGGGCAGAAGCGTTGGAAGCTTCTTTCAATGCCGCTGTGTGGACGGGCCGTAACTGAGCGAAAGGTTAGTGGCTTCAAAAAAAGGAAATAAGTATAACTCTCTGACAGACACAAAGGAAAGTTGTGAATTAATCAGAGGAGATTAACAATGGTGTGGCTTTTTGAAATGAATTGCTCTGATTAAAGACACTTGTCAATTGTGATAAGACAATGTCAGGAGAAATCTCTTAATGTAATCAAACAGGGTGAGACGAGCCTTGATCACATGCCCGTCCTGTACTGATATAATCATGAGACCCAACTCTCATCCATTTAAGCTGCATGTAATCAATGATTGTCACTGATTAGGTCTCATTCCTTCACTGTCATTGTTAGTTGCTCAAGGTGAGTTGAGACAATTACCTTTCACCTTTCCACGTATCCACTCTGGCAAAGTCCTTGTAGTTCTGCTGGCCAGTGAAGAAGACATACTCCCCATCGTTGGAAGCATTGGTCTGTAGGAAAAAAAGGGAACATTTTTAACAAACAGCTCAAACAAATAGCAACTCTTGACTTTCTGCAATTTTAATACAATTTCTTTGCAATTATCTCATATAGTTTATACCATTTTAATGATCAACAAACTCTGGACAAAGTGTACAATATCATATTTATATTAGTTGTTATTGTTATTTTCTCTTCCTGCTTGTAAAGCGTCATTGAGCACCAGGAAAAGCACTATATAAATACATGCATTATTATACTTGACCTTATAGAAGAGTCCAAAAACATCGTCCAGGTTGGGTTTTAAAAGTTTGAGGGCTTTGAGCAGGGGGTCTTCATATCCCCACAGCAGCTCTCCTACTGTGCGTGTGGTGAAAAGGCTTTCGTTTTCAGATTTCATGTAGGAGGAGATCAAGTTTGCATAGGCCCAATTATCTTTGAATTGCTCCATCACCGTCTACCGGGTAAAAAAAGAAAGACAAACTGCGTTGTAAAGCGACGAATGACAGAAGTTCTTTGAAGACAAATGGGATGAATCATTTACTTGAATCACATTTTTTATAATCTTTATGAGAGTTCACTTCACAGTACATATTATCAATCCTATACCTACAAAGCATCATGTACTGTTATATCTTTGTAACAATAAAAGGAAAGCACATCTACTGTAATGAAGATAAATGGCAACATCGTCTCATACATTTTGGGGGAGGGGAGAGAGAACATTTTTGTATATAATTAAAAATTATTGATGTAACCTGTGAGTCTGTTGTTACACCATTTGAGTGATGTCATTCTTAATTGTTTAAAAAATAATGTTAAGAAGATTTGTTATCCATGGATCTTTAATACTTTACCTTTAAAGTATGAGGATATTATAAGAACTCTTTATTAAAAAATAAAAATAATATTGTGGTTGATACACAATACAACATTAATAAAACAGTATAATATTAAACAACACAAGCAGTAAATGGATCTGCAATGCTCACAATTGCAGGGATGTTGACCGTCCTGATGAGATCACTCTCTGGACCCCGGGACATGTCTCTCTGAAATATGTAGGTCTTTGTGTTGACAGATGCTACTTTGGTGCCATTTTCCTGGAAGTCCACTTGCTCCATCGGCCGGTACTCTCTGTGTAGGAAATGACAGCAGCTGGGTTATAACTGGCTTTATGGTAGAAAGATGTTAACTCTTAGTTCCTTGTTGCAGCCAAATATTTAAAGACAAACAATACAACAATACACTAGGTTGGCCTATTATCTTATTACAGTATCTGTATCTCATACTACAGAGAAGAGGCTATTGTTAAATAATTATAGAATTCTGTACTGAAACTATTAGTTCTGGTTTAAATATTGCATAAAGAAGGAAGAGGTTTCCATTGAAGTCAAAATAAGGTTAAATCATCTTTACAGTCAATACTGACTCCTGACTATTCAGAACGATTTGTAATGACCACACGAGTAAAAGGGAAGTTTTCCAACCAAGATACGATATTACTTTATTTGTCAGATCAAGTCTGAAATTTGACTTGCGTCACAGCAGCTCCATGTCCAACATCAACAGACAAATATCCAGACAAAAATACATGAAACACAAACAACAAACATTTAACATAACAGCACAATCAGTGAGAGAAAAGCTGCTCAAAGAGCCTTCAGCGTGCATTTGATCTGGGATTTAGCTCTGTATTTACTGTGAGGATTGACTGTGAGTGAGTGAGATGCACTATAGTCATGCTTTTTATGTTAACTCTAATCGAACATGATGATCTTGAGGCAAGGATACCAATTACAACTTCATAAGCAATGTATTTGATTAATTATTGAATATAATCGATTAATATGTTGACTTATAGTCTTACATTTTGCACTAAAGTGAAACATGTATTGTTGATGCATATTATGATGTCATGTTTACAACTGCCCTGCTTATCTATTTTTCAGGTTCTTCCTTTTGTGTTTTACCTAATCTAATCATCACCTTTCTGCATTGATGATATCGTCAGTTTTGATTTGATTTAACAGAATCAACAATTGTGCTTCGTAATGGCTTTGTGGCTTTCTTTTACTGTGACATCTGCACTTCTGGTTTATGAAATAGACGACCAGAGTAATTAGAGTATTTTTCCTTTTCCTCACCTGTATGTATATGGTCCGATCTCCAGCACAGCAGGCCGATCTCCATCCAGCACCTCCAGGGGGTTTGTCAGATTGAAGAAGTAAAACTGCATGTAAATAGGGGCTGGTGGATTCTCCCAGGCCTCAAACGCCTCCGTGCCATTCTTCAAAACGACTTCCTATGGGGAACAAAGAGCATTGGGTTATATGTACTGCACAGTGGAGAACAATTTGCAACTTCAGATGCATATTTAGCTGACTAAGCTGTCCTCACATCATATGACAAAGGCTGCTGTACGTGGTTGAATCACAATATGGATAACCAGGCAGGATATGATATGTAATAAACATTGCAATGACGTACGAATTTCACAAATCTAAAATAAGTTATTTCAAAAGTCAAATATAAAAGTGTGCTAGATATATATCTGTTATAGATTTTAATATGCAAAAACCCCACCCAAAACAGCTCAACACTTCTTCATTCAACTGGCTAAATAATTGTCTATGAGTATCGGGAGAAGCTGGCTGTCAGAGCTTGCTAACTTGATGAGTAGTGAGAACATCAATTCCTTAATGTTAGCCATTGGTAAAACATTCAATTTTAAAGCCAGCTAGCTAAATACCTAATGTTAAAGCTGCCCATCAGACACACCATACTGATCTCTATGGCATAATCGAAACTCATCAGACTGTCTGCCATTTCGTCACAATAACAATAAGCTAACTAACAATAACCGTCACCAAAATGTCTAACGTTAAATAGTTAGTGGTCATCTAACCATAACGCCTACATAAACAAGGTTTCCCAGAATAAGATGTTTGGCATACCTTTTTAACCACCGACTGTAGGATATGTGGAAACACGTTAGTCAACACCAAAGAAATGCCGGCAATCAAAAGTAGAATAGAAATAACTCCGGTGCTGTAAATACAACATGATTTCAGTTGCATGGTGGAAAAACAGACAGATATGTAAAGGTTGTTGCTCTCACTGATATTAGCTACCGTCTGTGTGTGAGCGCTGTTTTTGTTTTGACGGCACAGGAACTTTCTGGGTGAATCAAAGATTAACATCCGGAGTGAAATACTTCCCTGTTACCACTTCCGGTTTCTTCGACATTCGCGATCTTCCTGGAGCACGAGCCCTAACAAACGCAGTACAGTGATAGATTTTGAGTGTCCCCTTTTAATGGATGTCGCAATTTATGATGTAAAATGTGATAGCTGCCTATAAACTATTTAATGAGAGACGAAATAATGTGTCCAACATTAGCTGGCTGTTAGGGTTAGCTAAATAAAGGGGAACATATCTTTCTTGTAGGTAAAGACTCTTTGTTTTTAATCGCATGACAGTTACGTCATTCATTAAACCTCAGTTTTATGTGGATCTCTCTGTTTCAAACATAGGCTACATGATTACATAAAATACCAAATAAAACAAGCTAAAATTGTGCATTAAGTGACTTATTAATTATTTGCAGTTTTTACATGAATCAAGGAAAGTTCAACTTCGACTGTGCTGTTCTTGGGCCTTCTTGGGAAGACACTTTTTGTGAGCCGTTGGAGGTGAAACATTTAAATACAATCCAACAGTTATCCTGTTTGCATAGTCATGTTGAAACTCAGGGTATAGCCAGGTCATAATGTCAGTGTAAACAAAACCTGAAGATTTAATTGCACCATTGTCTCTGTTTCTTTAAAACGTGTCAAGCTGCGTTTTGTTCAATACTGATTACCAGCAAACAACCAAACATTCACACACTAATTGAATTGATTAATTTAAAACAAGGAACATATGTACATTAAGTGTGCATCAACATATTAAAAACATGTAAAAGTACTCGAATTAGCCGAAAGGCTAGTTTTCATCGATAGTCCCTTTGCCAGATGGTGATAGACATCCTGAAAGCAATAATAACAATACCACAACATTGTTATACCATTGTACATATTTACAATAGATGACATCACTATTACATATTAAATACATTTTTCATATACAGAACAACAGTGTAAGAGATTGGTTTCTCCACTAGATGTCACTGTCCTGACATTTACTAATATTCGTGCCAATGTTGTGCTATAAACTGGAGCCATATCTGTTGAGTCAACATTCGTAATAAAAGGGACCACACCTTGGCTAAGCAGACTAATCTATGAGCAGGTATCTCTGTGCCATATTGTCTCTTGTCCATTTCCATTTTTCTGATTGTAAGACATACTCATAGGAAATATGTTCAGATTTGCCATTACTATCTGACTATAAGCTACCAACACACATTGTATATGAATGATACCCTTAACACATGTTGGCGTTAAATCAAAAACATTTGAACATTAGCCTCGTTTCTGTTATGTGATTGTGATGTGCTATATGTGACATGTACTGTATAGTAACGTGTGTTGTTTATTGTTCTCTTTTATCCTCACACCGGTATCGACTTGTCTTTCCTCCTTTTTATTTTATTTTATATATTTTCTTATAACTAATGCTGTTGATATATTGTCATTTTAAGGGTGTCTATTACCATCTGGCTGGGGACAACAGCTGGAAATTAGCCATGTCGGCTAAAGCTACACCATTTACTGTTTTTGTGACAGTTCATCGATGGGGACTGTCCACGACACTATAAATAAATAAACTAAACTAAACTAAACTTTACATTAATAGTTTGGGTTAAATATGACAGACATACAGAACGTGCAGTAGCCAAGTTAGGATTATCCGACATTACCAAACATCACCAATACAACTTGACTGCTCAGACACGTCCTTACCTGCTTGAATAAGTTTCATTGCAGTGCAGTTGCAACATTTATCATCATCATCATCATGACGTGTTCGATTGGCAGTTTCTTAACCTCAGGCATGACTATACTGCTTTAACACATTGTGATACTACTATATAAAGCCTGTGAAAATGTTTGTATTGTTTGTTCTATGGATCCTTTGCATTATGGAAAATGTATACAACTTTTTGTGGCTAATCGCCATATGGAAAGTTTGAATATCTTTCATATCCTTTATTTTTGTCCTCCAAGTTGATGGAGGTGCAATAATAATTTACTGGAATACCACCTTACATAACATAATAGCTTTATTAGTTGTATTAAATACATAGATAATACATAGAAAAATAAACAAATACATAGACCAACATTGAATGGTTTGAAACAAGTGATAGTTACTCCACACACAGTGTTTTGAATGATATAATCCATTACTGGGGGTGTCATGGGAGTTCAGGGATCCAATCAAAAACCTAAGAATTAGCCTTTAAATGGTGGTACATCAACAAAACGTTAAATCAGTAAAAGAGTAAGGATTTTATTATTCTAATGTATTCTATTCTAGCTGTGTGAGTGTGGTTTTGTGGGAAATACCCCTTCAACCAAACATGAATGGGGCACAATGGATAACTGAAGAGGGCTCGCTAGCCGCGGTCACGAGAGCACTAGGGGAGTGACGTCACCACCCTAAACCGGGCACCAGCCGTTGAGTTGAGTCCCGAGCGAGAGACAGGCAGGAATCCGGGAACAACTTTTAATGTATGCGGGCCGAGCCGGGCCAGTGTCTCGGGACGCACTTTTCCCTCCTCCTTTATGCATCCTTCTGCTCGACTAAGCTCAACTACGGCTCGTTGTTTTCTCACCGGCTCGGTAGACAATCTGTTTTTGGCACAAAACGCGGTTGTGTGTCAGTTTCTTTTTATGTGTCCAGCCCTCCTGCGACTCCAGGACATAACCGGGTAAGTGTGTCCAGTAGTTTCACATCATGTTAGTAGTTGTTGGTCGGAATTATGTCAAGGCATTTTAAACAAAAGCGTCACAACCATCCAAGTGTTTGTAAGTCTCGGTGGTAAGTTAGACGCTGCTGTTACAAAGCGTTCAAACTCATTGTTTGTGTACAATGATGCACGACGCGCGCATTTGATGCTTTTTGTGCTAATTGCTAAACGAGTTGTAGCTTTGCCCGTGTTTGTTTGTGCATAGGTTCATGCATAACTTCCATTGTTTGAGGGCAGTATGCACAGGTAGCTAGCTACTTAATAAACCGTGGTTCGTGCTCGACTATAGATTCAGTAGTTAAAGTTAAATGTACCGTCCAACATTGACAGAGACAAGTTAAATAGTTAAATATCTCTGTTTCAGTTTTTTCGATTCGCTTCATAGAGATCTTCACATTCCACAATTGCTTTCAATTGTTGTTTTCACACATTTGTCATTGTTGTGCTGCTGATTTTTTTTTTGACACTTGGAATACATTTTACAGAACATGAAGATGTGCTTTATGAATGTGCCATGCACATGTATGTTAATCTGTGTCTTGAATGCTGCCAGTTATGGCTGTCCTTGAAGCACCCACCTTTCAAATCCTTAAACACATCAGTATCTGCCCACATGAAGAGTCTGTGGAAATGGAACAACTGTTTCTTACTTGCTCTATGTTTCTGCTAAGCCTTTTTAGTCCACACATTTTTTTAAATACAATTTCTTTAGGATTTAACTGCCAGTTATCATGGCAAAGAGGTTCAATTTGCTTACATAGTTGAACAAATACAAGCAGACATAATGAAGTAAGTGAGTAGTTTCATTTTGACTGGTATGATCAAAATGATCACATTTTAGACATGACAATGTGGAAATTGTTGGAGGCAGTTAACACGCAAACATGTATTTCACCAGACATCCCTAAGGGTTCTGTAGTGATTTAAAACATCCTTATGGGGAAACCATACAAAGCAGGATACCATTTCCAGCAACAGGTATGCAATAGAATTGAATGTGCTACACAAATTCCATTCCCAAAACTACTAATTGATTTGGGAGGAAGAAGAGAGAACTGTAAAAGTATACCGAGTATGGTACAGAATAATGTGATCAAACTTATTAGGAACACTTTGTACACATTTGCTTTTGTCACTACTACAGTACTACAAGTGGTGCTCCTAAAGAGGCTTTAATACACAGCATATGTTTTTATATTTGAGGTAAAAGGAAATGTATCAAGGCTGTAGATTATTGCCACTGTACATCCCTGCATATTTACACCTCCAATTGACTGTAACTTGTATGGATATAGTGTCCCACAATACCTGATCAATCAGTTAGTCTTTCGAGAATGCTAAATCACATTTGAAATGGAGCTACTCATCACTAATTTTATCATCTGTGTCTTTTTTTCTTCACAGCCTTCCCTGAGTGATTGAGTGAGTGACTGCATGGACCAGACTGAACATGAAGAGCCTTAAAGCAAAGTTTAGAAAAACTGATGTAAGTACTATAACATGTATTCGCGGCTGTGTGAAGTGTGTGCACGCAACGATGTGTGCACATGTGTATGTCTGCACGGCTGAGTCAGTGTCTGTGTATGCATGCCTTGTGCAGTTGTGGGTGATTTACTGCAGATTTTCTCAACCTTGGGGTCAGCAGCATTGCTTTGGGCTATTTATGAAAAAATAAATAGACTGGAAAAACAAAATAGAGTTCAATTATGTCTGTGTAATACTTATGGAACTTCCTTCTTGCTCTTGTAATCAGAAAGTGTGCCTTGCTCACTTTCCCATGATAACTTGTAAACTCTAAATGCTGGTGTCATGAGAATTGTAGGTCCTCAAAACAGGATCATGAGTTTGATAAACCCTGATTTATGGTGTTAGTGATATGACATAGACTATTATACAGACATGTTGAGTCACTCTGGAAGGTGGAGGACTCGAGAGGTGATTAAAATATTTTCTTTTGGGAGGAATATCTCTGTGTTGGTTCAGTCATTCATTGGGTCACAGTCAAAGATACTCTACACTCACAGGAAGTGAGGCGTCTCCACAGCGTCTGACTCATCTGTTGTCACAGTGACCGTAATGACACAGAGCCAAAACGCAGACAGGAAAAAGCTGGAGGGTTGGTGGATGAATGGGATAAGTTTTAGGGGATGTAGGGAGTGTCAGAAGTAGACAAGTTGACAAATGGAGTGAATAATGTCTACTAAATGAGATACTTGGTTTACTCAGACAGTTTCCATGAGATTAGGAGTGTGT